CATAGAAAATCCTAAAGATGCCACCAGAAAACTACTAGAACTAATCAATGAATCTGGTAAGGTTGAAGGATACAAAATTAATGCACAGAAATCTCTGGCATTCCTATACACCAACAACAAAAAATTAGAAAGAGAAATGAAGGAAACACTCCCATTTACCATTGCAACAAAAAGAATAAAATACCTAGGAATAAACCTGCCTAAGGAGGCGAAAGACTTGTACTCAGAAAATTATAAAACACTGATGAAAGAAATCAAAGATGACATAAAGAGATGGAGAAAAATACCATGTTCTTGGATTGGAAGAGTCAATATTGTGAAAATGACTATACTACCCAAAGCAATCTACAGATTCAATGCAATCCCTATCAAACTACTAATGGAATTCTTCACAGGATTAGAACAAAAAATTTTACAATTCGTATGGAAACACAAAAGACCCCAAATAGCCAAAGCAATCTTGAGAAAGAGAAATGGAGTTGGAGAAATCAGGCTCCTCGACTTCAAACTGTATGACAAAGCTACAGTAATCAAGACAGTATGGTACCGGCACAAAAACAGAAATATAGATCAATGGTACAGCATAGAATGCCCAGAAATAAACCCACGCACACATGAGCACCTAATTTACAACAAAGGAGGCAAGAACATACAATGGAGAAAAGGCAGCCTCTTCAATAAGTGGTGCTGGAAAAACTGGACAGCTACATGTAAAAGAATGAAATTAGAACACTACCTAACACCATACAAAAAAATAAAGTCCAAATGGATTAAAGACTTAAATGTAAGACCAGACGCTATAAAACTCTTAGAGGAAAACAAAGGAAAAACACTCTTTGGCATAAAACACCGCAAGATCTTTTTTGACCCACCTCCTAGAGTAAGAGAAATAAAAACAAAAATAAACAAATGGTACTTATTTAAACTTAAAAGCTTTTGTACAGCAAAGGAAACCATAAACAAGACAAAAAGACAACTCTTAGATTGGGAGAAAATATTTGCAAATGAAACAACAGACAAAGGATTAATCTCCAAAGTATACAAACAGCTCATGGAGCCAATATCAAAAAAACAAACAATCCAGTTAAAAAATGGGCAGAAGACCTAAATAGACATTTCACCAAGGAAGACATACAGATGGCCAAGAGGCACATGAAAAGATGCTCAACATCACTAATTATTAGAAAAATGAAAATCGAAACTACAATGATGTATCACCTTACACCGGTCAGAATGGCCATTATCAAAAAAGCTAGAAACAATAAATGCTGGAAAGGGTGTGGTGAAAAGGGAGCGCTTCTACACTGTTGGTGGGAATATAAATTGATACAATCACTATGGAAAACAGTATGGAGATTCCTTAAAAAACTAAAAATAGAACTACCATTTGACCGAGCAATCCCACTACTGGGAATATACCCTGAAAAAACCATAATTCAAAAAGAGACGTGTACCACAATGTTCATTGCAGCACTATTTACAATAGCCAGGACATAGAACCAACCTAAATGTCCATCGACAGATGAATGGATAAAGAAGATGTGGCACATATATACAATGGCATATTACTCAGCCATAAAAAGAAACGAAACTGAGTTATTTGTAGTGAGATAAATGGACCTAGAGTTTGTCATACAGAGTGAAGTAAGTCTCAAAGAGAAAAACAAATACCGTATGCTAACACATATATATGGAATCTAAAAAAAAAAAAAAAAAGGTCCTGATGAACCTAGTTGCAGGGCAGGAATAAAGACATAGACATAGAAAATGGACTTGAGGACATGGGGTGGGAGGGGGAAGCTGGGACGAAGTGAGAGTAGCATCGACATATATACACTACCGAATGTAAAATAGCTAGTGGGAAGCAGCAGCATAGCACAGGGAAATCAGCTCCGTGCTTTGCGATGACCTATAGGGGTGGGATAGGGAGGACGGGAGGGAGGCTCAAAAGGGAGGGGATATGGGGACATGTATATGCATATGGCTGATTCGCTTTGTTGTGCAACAGAAACTAACACAGTATTGTGAAGCAATTATACTCCAATGAAGATCTATTTTTTAAAAAAAAAACACCAAAAGGTGGAAATAGCCCTAAGGTCCATCAACAGAAGAATCAACAAAGGAATAGAATATTATTTAGCCATAAAAAGGAACAAGTACAGATACATGCTACAATTTCAATGACTCTCAAAACATTATGATAAGTGAAAGAAATTAACACAAAAAGTCACATATTTTACGATTTCTTTTGTATGCAATCTCCAGAATAGGTAAATCCGTAGAGACCGAAAGCGTATTAGTCGTTGCCAGGGGCTGGGTGAAGTATGGATGGGAGTGATTACTTTAAGGGTACAGGGTGTTCTTCCAAGGTGATTTTTAAAAAAAGAAGATTTTAGACTAGAGAGAGGTTTGCACAACATTGTGAACGTACTAAATGCCACTGAATTGTTCATACTTTAAAATAGTTAGCTGTATGTTATGTGAATTTCGCTCAAAAACAAAACAAAAACCCCAAGCAACGTAATTATAGTCTGCTTTCCAGCCCCCCCCCCCCCACAAGAAAGACAGTGAGAGCGCTAATCACCGTTCCAAGAAAACTACCCCAAACTAACGTTCTAGGACATAATGGTAGCATTTGCAGCAGCAGAATGAAGTTAAACCAATACGTCAATGGGAAGATGTTAACCTCCTGCTTTGTGGATGGGCACAGGCGTGAACCCCGTGTTGCGTTCAGTGACAACAGAAACTTCGGATTTAAAACAGACTGAGCGAACCCCAAAAATGTTGGAGCCGCAAGGGGCTTAAAACGATCGCCCGACCTGGATTTGCCCGGGCGATTGTGACTCGGGGTAACACAGGCGGTTGCAGAGCTGGCAATGGAGACCAGGTCTCCCCGCACACCCACCCCGCCACACCGCGAAGCAAATCTTCACACACGAGTTGGGTTTTAGGTTTGTTTCTTTGTTTTAAAATCCCGGGAGCTTTTAGTGGGCAAAGGATTGTGGGCTGGCATGCCAGGCCCCTGGAAGGAGAGATGCAGGTGTGAGGCGGGCAGGGGCGGGAGCCGGGTGAACGCTAGCGGCCCGACTCCCCGCCCGGCTCAGGGCCCCGTCCGCAATCACTAATCCCGGGCATTCCGCGTGGCCCGCTCCAGCGCCGCCAGGCTCGCCTCCAGCAGCTCGGTGGTTTGTATCTTTCTTGCTCTTAGGAGGAAGAGATCCTGACAAACATGGGTTAATTGACTGAATGAATGTCCTTCACATCAGGAGAGCAGTAGGATTTTACTGACGCCCTTGGAGAAACCGGAGAGAAACGAGGAGCAGAAATAGCGAACGTAAGCGGTCGGCTTTGCAAACCCAGCGGGCGCCGGGCGATTGTAGAGCACGTGTGCGTACCCGCCCGGCCGGAGAAATGCGGCCCATAAGTCAGGGTTGTGGGCCAGGTCTCGAAGTGTCCGCAGTCCTTTAAGAAACCACAGCTGGTGGGGGCGGGGGGGCGGTATCGTTTTGTAAAAAGCAAGGAAACGGAAGGGAAACTGTATTGCCCGTGTTTCCTTCGTCCAGGGTTGGAAAGCGGGTCCTTTGGCAGCGCCCTTTGCTCGCATTTCTGTCTCCGAGTTCCTCTGTTCTGTGCACCCTGGAGGAGCTCGGCCCCGGGGAGTTCCTTTAGAGGGTGGGGGCCAGGCCACCCTAAAATTACTGAGACCCTGGAGTGAGGTCTTGGTAAGTATTAGAGGAACGACGGCAGCTCCTTACAACAGCGGGGCCTTCGATAGCTCAGTTGGTAGAGCGGAGGACTGTAGTGGAGCGAGCTATGGTAATCCTTAGGTCGCTGGTTCGATTCCGGCTCGAAGGACTTCGTGTGATCTTTTTTAGCTTCCACTCATTCAGAGGAGAAAAGCTTACCTAGAAGCCGGCTGTGAGTTGCGTACGCACTGCAGATGTTCCGTGAAACATATATGCAGTAAATAGGGTATGGGTACGCCCTCTTGGGGGTTACATGCAAAGGAATGTTAACCTGTGCTTTTAAATGAGGCTTATTATTGCTTATGTGTAATTATTATATGTCTGCTTTTAAAAATCTTGCCCCTGGTCCCGCTGCACTTGAGTGCTAAGCTAAATGAATGTTCTGAATTGCGGTCGGTTCACTGGTCAGTGGACACCCCGGAACAACCTGTAAGGCAAAAAGAAAAAAGCCAACAACGGCCGGGGGATTAGCTCAAATGGTAGAGCGCTCGCTTAGCATGCGAGAGGTAGCGGGATCGATGCCCGCATCCTCCACTCGGTTTTTGGCCCGGGCACTGGAGGATCCCCGAACCGCAAGAGAGTGGCTGAAGCTGGTGGGTGTTTTGTAATACAGAGAGCAGTACCGTAGGCAATTGTTAGCTTCACACACCGTCTTTTTATTTTGCAGGTGAGTCTTTTCCAGTGTCCTTCTTGGTCACTTCGTCTTTTCCTCCTCCCGGTGGGCAGGCCGTTAACCGTCTTCTGAGAAGACGCGGGTGGAACCCTCCCGCCGGGCCCGCAGGTCGAGCCCCCAAACAGTACGGGCTCAGGTACTCGCTAAATGTGCGAGGGAACTCCAGCGTGCTGGCCAATGGCAGCGAGCCTTACTGGGCGGGTAGCCAGCTGTCCCCGCGGCCAATAGGCGTGAGACTTCTTGTTTCCCGGCAGAGCGGGGTCCCGGCACCACGGCGCTCGGGTTTTGTTTGGGCCCTGCGTGGAGGGCCCGGGTGCCGGGGCCCAGGTGGCGCCTCGCTAGCGGGAGAGGGAGCGGGATCACCGGCCCGGAGAGAGGTGAGGGGCTCTGCGTGGAGTGCGGGCCCCGGCCCCGCCCCCTTTTCAGCCCCCCGCGGCCCGGAGCCCCCCTGGAATCCCACCCCGCCCCGCCCCTCGCCCGGGGTGCCCCCGGCCGCACCCCCGCTCCTGTGGCCTCGCCTGTTACCCGCTACGCCCTGCCTTCCTACCCTCCCGCGAGTGTGAGTCCGCCCAGAACCGTCCCAAGCCAACAAACCCCACTCCGGCCGGGACAGTCTCGGTCCTTGTGTGAGGGTCCTTCAGAGTTGTGGGTCGAGAAGCCATCCCCCTGTCCCCAAGTAGGTCTCTATCGGCCACTTATTTTTTAGGGATGCTCAGAACACCCATTACTAACCCATAACTACCAGGGTAGCTTTTTCAGGGGCTTCACTGCTTACAGGACTGGGGGTGAGGGGGTGGAATAGACCCGTACCCTAACTGGGTTTGAGCTGTAGTCTCCAGGTGAGCAGGTGGCTTCTGACCAGTTTCCTTTGGCTTGGCAAAGGCCACACGTCTAGTTTTCCTCCCTGATAGGTATGGGGTAATAACAAAAAAGTAAGAACCAGCCCTTCCAGGGCTCAGGGGAGCAACAGAAAACTGCCTGGTCAGTACTTGTGAGGACAGAGGAGTGGAGAGAGGAAGCTGCCCATCCAAAGTTAGAAACTTGGTTCTCTCCACTCTGCTCTTCTCCAGAGTAGGGAGCCAGTCTGGGAACCAGAGATCCAGAATGGCCCATCTCTCAAGATGGCCACATGTGGTGGTGGGTGTGTCTTGGCTAGGTTTGGGCAATCTGACCTCTCTAGCTTCTGTAATCTTTGGGCTGCAAAGAAACTTAGAGTCTAGTGTTTCTCAGCATACTTAAGCCACTGAGTATTTCATTTTGGAATCGCCAAGCTGTGGTAAAATTGGGTCCTTTGAGGTCAGTTATAACCCTTAGTGTGGGGACAGAATACTGCTTATTCTTGGCCTTTGCTGGAACCCCACTTCTACCCTTTTTTTTTAAGGCGGAGAGAGACTCTTGTTTCTTAGGGCACTCCCTAAGAGCAGCTCTCATTCACCCAGAGATACTCAAAGAACATGTTTTCATTTTTCTTCCCTCTCCTCCCTACCCCACCATTTTTCCCCAGCTCTCAGGGCCTGAGTGGGGCAGGAGGATGCTTTCCCAGCCCCACCATGGAGCTGCGCTGTGGGGGATTGCTGTTCAGTTCTCGCTTTGATTCAGGGAACCTAGCCCACGTGGAGAAGGTGGAATCTGTGTCTAGTGATGGGGAAGGAGTAGTGGGTGGTGCCTCGGCCTCCACCAGCAGCATTGCCTCTTCCCCTGACTATGAGTTCAACGTGTGGACCCGACCAGACTGTGCTGAAACAGAATTCGAGAATGGGAACAGGTAAGAGGAGAGTCATGGAGGGTGGAAGAAGGAAGAGAGGCTGACCCCGCACCCGTGCTTCAGTTAGCCCTTTGACTGAGAGTTCGTGCCAGCACACTACCCTTCCCCTCCCACTCCCCCTTCCTCTCCCTCCCTCCCTCTCTCCCTACCAAGTAGCCCTTTCCCAGTTTGGCTTGCTCCAGCTCTCCCACATAGCTCCTCTCCAACCCTCCCATGTAGAATGACCTGTCTCTCCTACTCTGGCCCTCAGGTCATGGTTCTACTTCAGTGTCCGGGGAGGAACTCCAGGGAAACTCATCAAGATCAACGTCATGAACATGAACAAGCAAAGCAAGCTGTATTCCCAGGGCATGGCCCCCTTTGTGCGCACACTGCCCACCCGGCCACGCTGGGAACGCATTCGAGACCGGCCCACCTTTGAGGTAAGTTCCCCATGAGGAGGATAGATGGACTTGGGTGCTAAAGCAGATGAGGAAAAGGAAAGAGGAGTCCCTTCGATACAGCGTGCTAGGCAGGCGGGACACCAGGTTTTGGTACCAGCGTCCCTCTGGCGCCAGCTGGAGTCCAAGATAAGCCCCTGCCTCGGGAAGCCTAGAAGGATCTGGCTGTCACGTGGAGTTTCAGAGGGAGGGACGTTGGTAAAAGTGATGAGGGTGTGAGGTCAGTTCCTGGTGACCCCAGTAGGATCTTAGTTCTGACGCCGATGGCATGTTGCCCCTCTCTCTTCCTCCTCTGCTCCTCAGATGACAGAGACGCAGTTTGTGTTATCCTTTGTTCACCGTTTCGTGGAAAGCCGTGGGGCCACCACCTTCTTCGCCTTCTGCTACCCCTTCTCCTACAGTGACTGCCAGGATTTGCTAAACCAGCTGGACCAGCGCTTTCTGGAGAACCACCCTACCCATAGCAGGTGCCAGCCGCATTCTTACTCCTGTCATGCAGTCCTGGACCACACAGCACCTCTGCTACTCCTGGAACTTGCCCTAAGAGCCCTGAAACAAAACCTCATCTGTTCTTTTCTCTGTACAGAATGTGGGATTTGGGGTACCTTTGACAGATGTTTCTGTGTGACCTTGATCTTGGCATTACCACCGCTCCACTCCACTTATCCACCTGCCTACTTCAAGCCTCTTAGTATCCTAGCTCCCCTCAGTTACCCAGAATTTCGCCAGCGCTGCCGTTGCTCAGCACACATTTGTTGTTCTCCTGCCCCAACAGAGGCCAACTCTCTGTGTCTATGCAAAGTAGTCTATCCTAGGGCACCATAAACCGGGGAAAAAAACAATAAGTTTATCCTGTCCTGTTCCCTGCATTCTGGCAACGCAGACCCACCCAAATCCTCAGCCTCATTTAAAACTGTGAGGGACTGTAAGGCCCCAAAGGCTAGGGTGAAGTACCAGATCCCACAAATCCTGGGCTCGTGACAAGGCCCACCTGTTGGTAGGACTGCAGGGACTTCTCCTGGCTTAACGACCTGTACCTCTACAGCCCCCTAGATACCATCTATTACCACCGGGAGACCCTTTGCTACTCTCTGGATGGACTGCGTGTAGATCTGCTAACGATCAGTTCCTGCCATGGGCTTCGAGAAGATCGAGAGCCCCGCCTAGAGCAGCTATTTCCTGATGCCAGCACACCCCGACCATTCTGTTTCACAGGCAAGAGGGTGAGTAGAAATAGCATAAAGGTAGTACCTTGGCCTTTGCCCAGCTCCAGGCACTGCTGGTAGCTTAAGACCACGTTATTCCGCAGCCCCGTGGACACGGCCTCAGCCTGCATTCCGAGGCAAGTGTGACGGCTCCTACTTCATTTGCAGACTCAGCCAGCTGGAAGTCCAGTGGCTGCTTCCACCTCATCCCACCACCATCCCCACATGATGACCGCGGAATATAGAGCAACTGACCTAATAACTGCTTTCCTCTCCACCTCAGATATTCTTCCTAAGCAGCAGGGTACACCCTGGGGAGACTCCATCTAGCTTTGTCTTCAATGGCTTTCTGGACTTCATCCTTCGACCTGACGATCCTCGGGCCCAAACCCTACGTCGCCTCTTTGTCTTTAAGCTGATTCCCATGTTAAACCCCGATGGCGTAGTCCGGGGCCACTACCGGTAAGCAGCGTCCCCAGCCCGCCTGGATTGTTCCCAGTCCCCTCACACCCTGCATCTCAGTGGAAGACTCTCATCTAACGTCTGTGTTCCCAGTTCTCTTGCACCCTAACAAGGGCAGGTTCATGTGATCATCCAGTGACCTGAGAAGGAGTGTCCCATCTAGTGGCACTCTCTAGGAGAAGAGCCGGAATGCCCAGGTCCAGCTGAGCCGAGGGAGCTGTCTTTTAGGGTTCTGTGGGAGGGCTGACAGCTGGCCACAGAGGGGGCCTGCCTCAGTTCTTTCTTTCCTAACGCACCCTCAGCCTCTCGTGTCACAAGTCAAGTCTCCTTTTCATCTACTCTAGTGTCTCCTTCGCTGGCCCAGCCCTCTAGACCCTGCTTTGGTCCTTGTTTCTCTACAGCACAGACTCGCGTGGAGTGAATCTGAACCGTCAGTACCTGAAGCCTGATGCAGTCCTGCACCCAGCCGTCTACGGGGCTAAAGCTGTGCTTCTCTACCACCACGTGCACTCCCGTCTGAACTCCCAGAGTCCCTCTGAGCACCAGCGCAGTCCCCATCTCCCTCCTGATGCTCCCCTTTCTGACCTTGAGAAAGCCAACAATCTCCGAAATGAAGCTCGCCTTGGGCACTCACCTGACGGGGGGAGCCCTGAGGCCTGGACACAGACCGAGCCAGCAGAGCCGAAGCACCACAGCGTGTGGATTATGCCACAGCAGTCCACTGAGGCTGAGCATCCAGACCCCGACACCATCCCCCCCAAAGAGAGTGGTGTTGCTTACTACGTGGACCTGCATGGACATGCTTCTAAAAGGGGCTGCTTCATGTATGGAAACAGCTTTAGTGACGAGAACACCCAGGTAGGAATCCACAGGTGGTCATGTGAGTGTGGGACGTGTTGCAGGTTAGGAAATAAAGGTCAGGCCACAAATGGAGGGAAGGGGGCCTTCTGGCAGGAAAGCCTGGGGCTGCAAGAGGTACACTATCCTGAGCGAGCTCCAGAGAGCCAAGAAGGGGCAGCACTGGGCCCCTCACGTCTCAGTCGTTACGTCATGACCTCTGAATGAGGGTCAAGCCGTCGGCATCCTAGTCTTTTCTAGGGTTTGGGAAACCAGGGGAGGAGGAGAATTTCGCATTATTGGACAGAAGAAGGGCTTAAAAAGAGGTAGAATCGTACCTTTCCAACACCTAGAAATATTGTCAAACATTCAGTGAGAATTTACCAACACTGAGTACTGCCGATGGTTCGGAAGGTGTCTGCTGTGTTTAAGGCACGTGGCCGCATGCTTGGCATCTCTTCCTTGTCCGAATCCCTTCTTGCTCTGTCTCTCCTTCTGAGTTGCCTTTTTCCTCGCCCAAACAGGTGGAAAATATGCTGTATCCAAAGCTCATCTCCTTGAACTCAGCCCACTTTGACTTCCAGGGCTGCAATTTCTCAGAGAAGAACATGTATGCCCGAGACCGCAGAGATGGCCAGTCTAAAGAGGGAAGCGGCCGGGTTGCAATCTACAAAGCCTCAGGGATAATCCACAGGTTGGGTGGAAATTGAGATACAGTTGATGAAGTAGCTTCCCAAAGAAGACAGTACCCAGCCGAGGGCGCTCAAGGGGCAGGGGTAGCCGAAGTCTTCTCCAAGGACAGATTCACAACTAGTGTTCTTGTCTTTAGTCTGGGACACTAAAGGTCCCTTTTGGGGACCTTCTTAGGTACATAATAAAGCGCCAAGGTCAATTTCTAGTTGCTCGGGATTAGCACTTTCTATTTGTGTATATTTTTTCCCAAATGATTGTCTCATAGACCGCCTAGGCTGTCCCCCTGTGGTTCTGTCCAGATTCTGTCTGATAAATGTCTCTGTGTCTTAGCTACACACTTGAATGCAACTACAACACTGGACGCTCAGTAAACAGTATCCCTGCCGCCTGCCATGACAACGGACGTGCCAGCCCCCCTCCCCTGCCGGCCTTCCCCTCCAGATACACTGTGGAACAGTTTGAGCAGGTATGCATGCAGGGGATGAGTGGGGAAAAGGGAAACCGCAAAGTCTGGAAAGGCCCTCACTCTTGCTACCTGACTCTAAGGTCCTCTGAGGACAGGCGCACCACTATCGCTGCCTCATCTCTCAACCACTGTGGTTGGCTTCCTCGGTTAACAGGCGCAGGCCTCTGACTGTAAGAGTACTGAGAGGATGAGTGCGCACTATTCTGACCTCCCCCCAGCCCCGCCATAGAGAACCCCTGAGCTTGTCTTCCTCCTTCTATTGCATTTGTTCACTACTGACCTAAAAGTACCCCCTCTGCAGAGGTACCTGACGATCCTGGTGTCCTAGGGCACACAAGAGGTGTAGAAAGAGCTGTGGGTTATAGAAGAGATCCCAGTGCCTTCTCCTGCTGGGAGAACTCCTGCCTGGTGCCAGCCAGAAAGCCCACCTGCCCCTGCTCGTAATGGATGAGGGCCCCAGATGGGCAACAGTTTAGGGAATAGCTCTAAATCCACTTGGGATAAACAGCCTGAGCACAAAAGTTAGGATACTCATTGAGCAAACGTGAGGCCGGCCTCTCCTTCCCTTCCACTGTGCTGTGCACCCCAAACCAACACAGCACCCTAGGTTGGAAGACCAAGACACTGAGCCAAACCAGACTCTCCCCACAGGTGGGACGAGCTATGGCCATTGCAGCTCTGGACATGGCAGAATGCAATCCATGGCCCCGAATTGTGCTGTCAGAGCATAACAGCCTCACGAACCTCCGGGCCTGGATGCTAAAACACGTGCGCAGCAGTCGAGGCCTGAGCACTACTGTGAACACGGGTGTCAACAAGAAGAGAGGCTCTCGAACTCCACCCAAAAGTAACAAGTAAGGCCAGCAGGGTGGAAGGGAGAAAAGCTGTGAAAGTGGAACAGGGCTCTAGAGCGAGGAGTTCCAAGGAATTTGTGTGATTCCCAACTTCCAGAAGGGCCACATGGTGAATATTTCCAGGGTAAATTTAAATTAGTAAGATCAGTGTATTTTTTGGAGAATGGGATCCTCTTCCCTTTTACCTGGAGCTGCATACTTCCCAGATATCTGAAAAGCAGGCTAGGGGATTCCCTGCTCCAGAGCCCTGCACAAATCAAATACAGTTAGGGTGCGGGTGGGGGCAAAGCTCAGCTTCCAGTGGTTGTGAATGACTGAGGGGTCCAAGGGCAGCACCAAGGCATTAAAGGGGAATTCGCTGGGAGTTAAAGCTGCCCAGGGACAGCCCTTATGGCTCTTAGTGTATTGTCTGCAGGAGCGCGTTACGTGTGAACAAGGGCTCCCAGGCATCCTGAGATGCCCCAGGTTAGGTACCTTATCCATGGACGTAAATCCCTCCCTGTGCCTTTTCATTCCAGAGGTGATGCTTTACTGAGCATCAGACCATGGGGAAAGACTTGCAACAACCTCCCTGGCCCAGGGTTAACTGGCGTCTGCTTCTTTGCAGTGGACTGCCTGTTTCCTGCTCTGAAAATACCTTGAGCTGCGCGCGAAGTTTTAGCACTGGCACAAGTGCTGGTGGTAGCAGCAGCAGTCAACAAAATTCTCCACAGATGAAGAACTCCCTCAGCTTTCCTTTTCATGGCAGCCGGCCTGCAGGGCTGCCAGGCCTGGGCTCCAGCACCCAAAAGGTCAGCCACCGGGTGCTGGGCCCCGTCAGAGGTAAGCTAGTCTGGGAGCCCCTGCAACAGGTGTTCACTTGTTTGGGGCATTGCTGGGGGAAGTGAGAGCTTGAAGATACACACTTGGCCTGGGACCAAGGGGTGAATCAATAAAATTAGTATATAGCAGAATCTACAGCCTCTTCTGCGACCTTGGTGTTCCCTGCGGCACGAGCTCCAGACGGTACCGTATATGGCATAGGCGGGAGTCCGCGGTATCTGGGTCTCAGCAACTGCTGGGAGGCAGGAAAGTTTCCAAGGAAGAAACACTGGCTAGAGCAGGGTCACACTGAGACATGGAGCCTCCACGTCAAGGACAGGGTCGGTCTTGTTGGGAGCAACATAAGGAGATGTCCTCACAATCCAAATCGCATCACCATACAAAGACGGAGAATCCTCTCCAGGGTCTCTATGGGCTGAAATTGTTCCTAGCTTCAGAGCCTGTTCAGAAAGTGTTATCAGAAGGATGCCAGCTCTTCCAAAGAAAAATGGAACAACTACAGACAGCTCCTGTTCTAGGCTTACAAAGCAACAGTCTAGCCCCTTCCAGCAGTGGTCACAAGTGCTCAGCTGTGCCCCTGGGTTTGGCCAAGGAGACCCTGCTTGATACAAGATAAGAGATTCTGGGTCACAGTGTAGCCCCAAAACAGGTGGGCCTTCAGGGAAGAAGAGGAAGGGAATCCAGAGCCGTTCCTCGGGAGTGACCTGGACTGTAGTAGGGAGACAGTTGCCGGGCCACTTCTGGAAATAACACTAAATCAAAAATCAACATTGTATGTGGCTTCTGGGCTACAGCAATCTTGCCAGAGTATGGAGGCTTAAACGCTAGAACTAAGCTTTGCTGGTCTTCAAGCTGCACTCGTCCTCGTTAGCACTTCCCTGCTACTCAGCTTGCAACAGAGTTTTCGGTGCAGAGCAGAAACATGCACTGGGGTCAGTGGCTGTGGAAATCTGACTACTAGTTAGAGCAGCCACAGGAGAGAGCGCAGCGGGCCTTACCAGCTTTGACCAGTAAGATGTTCTACCCCTGAGAAGCTCCATAGTTACCTCTGCTTATGTTCCAAGCCCCACTCTTAGAGTCTGTCTTCATTGGGAAAGGACACTTTTGCACACTGTTTGATAGAAGGAGAGTATTAAAGCAATAATAATGCCTTATATTTAAATAGCATTAAACAGTGAACAACAAAAAAACAGTATCGCATATTTATTTCATTTAATCCTCACAAAGACCCTGTGGGATAGGTGGTATTTCCACTTTCCTGATGAGGAGACTGAGGGTGTTTAAGGGTAACTCGTCCAAGGTTGCGCAGCTATGAAGTGGCAGTTACTCAAATTTAGTCCTTTCGTGCTCCAGTCTACTTGAGTTTCCCACCTTAAATCTGGACATTTCTTCTTCTTTTAATTTCTTTTCCTTTTAACTCATAGAAGGAATATTGGCACCATAAATTCTCCTTCCCTGATTACAAAAGGGAAATAGCAAAGAGCCTTTTCTAGGTCCCCACTGGAGGATTCTAGGCAGTTTTTAGTCAATATTTTATTAACATCTTCCCTGCTCCCCCCCACCAAATGCAGAGTGTTGTATTAAGCTCCTTGAGTGAGAAACATGTATTCTGTTTATTTGTTACTTCCCCCAAATAACTAATAGAAAATAGGCATAGTCAGTACAAAGTAATTCCTGGTTGACTGACTTGAAACTTTATGGGGGACACAGGGCAGTAAACACAACATAAAAGCACACACTCATTATAAACATACAGGGAACATGGGGAGCCACTGTGGTAGATAAACACAAGAGTAATCACCCAAAGAATGATCAGTTGAGAAATGGTTTTGAAGAACGGGTGGTGGTGTATGGTTTTAACAAAAACATTCCAGAGATAACAGTGATAGCCAGGACCAGAGCTGCCTCGTAGAGAGGGCCACAGGCAGGCGCGCTAGCTGGTTCGAAGGGCCAAGCCCTGCCCGTGGGAATCAGGAAGGCAGGTGGGAGGAAGAAGCCGGAATGTCTTGAAAACAAAGATTATGAGTTAACAAGACATATGGCAACGACTGTGTTTCTGAGAATGATGGGAACAAAAGATTTAAGAGAGCCATCTGTGAACTGTTTATATATAAATCAAGCAGGGAAGGGGAGGCGGGATCCTTGCAGTAGTTTATACATGAGATAACCAGTGCCTATACCAGGGTCTATGAATGCACATACTAGAAACAGAAGGGGCAGGATTCAGTGGTGGTGGAAGAGAGACAAACGAAGAGAGCTTCATGGCTACAAGCTAAAGGAAAATGTCATGATGACAGTAAGACATTGTTGGAAGCCAAGTGCTGAGTTTATCTATTTTAGACATGCTTGGATGTCATGGGCTAGCTATATGGAGATGACCTACAGGCAGAAAAAGGGCCAAACTGTAGAAAAGGTGACATCAGGGTTGGATCTAAGAGTCATCCACGTACAGGTGAAACCAAGTGAGAAGCCATGTTCCCCCAGGTAAATGAACTTAAAAGCAGAAAGAGAGCTGGTCTGAGTACCAAGACACCCTAGGGACTTGCATAAATATTTGTAAGAACTAAGAAACTATGTCTCTAAGGTCAGGGGGTCAAGAAGGTTCCTAATAATACCAAACAGGAATACTGTAAGGAGCTGAAAGATCAGGTCTAGGAATCTTGACTCCTTTTCTCCTGAGCATCTGCTGGTGCTACAGTTTTACCACTTCATCTCAAGTCCCTGTAAGACTCCAGGATGGGAGACTGGCCCTGGCCTGGGCTAGGGACTTGTGATGCAGCTGTGGTATGTGGACACGGCGTCTTCAACTAACCCTTAGAAAAACTTCATTTTGTTTGTGTGATTTATCCTATGCTGTAGCTTTGTGACATTTCCTGGTTCCACACATCTGGCCCCTGGGCCTTTGCCACATCTGGGCATACTTTGTCTTCCGAGATAGGAAGAACACGACCCTCATATCTCTATAACTATAAAAGCAGCCATAAATATACTTTCCAAATCCCAAAACGGGGATTGCGTTGACAAGGTTTTTTTTTCTGACTTACCAACTTATTTATAAGAAAATTCCCACTAATGTATAAAAATTTTATCACATTTAACCGTACGTTTAACTGACTATCCTTTATTGGCCAGAACAGAACATGAGATTGGGCTACCCAGAAAATTTCAGAAAAGATCTAGGTAGCCCAGCCAGAAGCTTAGGCTAGAATCAGGGAACTAGTCTGGCAGGGTCTGTCCTCGGAGGCTGGGGGATGACATTTTAGAAGCCAAAAAGTAGCCAACGTGGGGTGAGCAGGAATGTTGCTGGGGCAGGAGGCTGGAAGAGCCTGAGTAAGCCTTGCCTCCCAGCGCCCCTGACCATAGTGCCAGGATCTTCCTTACCTCGTTCTCCCCCTGCTGCAAAATAGGTCCCGAGAACTGCCTTCCCAGACCCATGGTCACATCCCTGACCACGGGGCTCAGAGCGCAGAGGGCACCGTCCGCAGCTGCCACCGAGGAGCAGGAGGGAGAGCTCACTGGGGAACAGCTAACGTAACAGCTAAAGTGTGCGATTTCCTGGTGCACGAGCAGATGCAGACAGCTCGGAGGAGGACCTGCTGGGGAGGGGGTGGATAGTAAACGGGCTCTTCCTTCTGTTGCCTATGTATTGATGAAAACAGGGCTCGAACTAGAGGGAAGCCAGCGAGGTGCCTAGGACACATGATTTAAGAAGGCACTCGCTCTCAGGGTCAGGCAAGGGCCTCCTTAAACTATGCACTCTAGGCGCCTCACTCGCTTCATACTAGTCCTGGCCCTGGATTCAAGCAAGTCTCACTCAATAGCTTAAACTTATTCCCTAGCCCTCCACCCTACCCGGCGGGATACTGGTGTAAAAGGCAAGGGACTTAAGTGTAAAGCGGGGAGCCTTCAGCCATCAGCCCACCATGGCCACTCTAGTCCGCCCCAGCTCTGGCACTTAAAGCTGAGGTTACCAGAATTCTCTCCTGGCCTCTGTGATGCCTTGTCTCAGCTGACCAGCAGCTTCTGATAGAGCAGCTAAAGGCCAATGGTGAGTGGAGGCTCCTTTGAGAAGTGAGTCAAAGGACATAGGAAGAGTGCCTCCAGCACCATCATCACTTTTACTTTTTCCCCTGCAAGCGAAAGTTTTGTGTTAAATAGCAGAGTAATAAAACTTATTTGATGGCAGGAAATATCTCCTAACACATCTATTTATTCCCTTAGCACCTAGCACCATGCCTGGCACTTATTAAATGATCTGCAAATATTTGTTGAACAAATAAAAGGCAGGAAGTTGAAGCTGAATGAAGGCTTGTCTCGCCTGTCCACCCCTCACAGGGCATAAATCAGGTCTGCGTTCATCCTAGGGATCCAGTGAGATCTGGGGTGCTACCTGTAGGGACAGTTCTAAAGATGTTTTGGAGGGATGATGCATGACCTAGGCACAGGTTACACAACTACCCCTCAAAATTGTGAGCCCTTAGAACATCCATTCTGACTCATACAATGGTAAGGTGGGTCTGGCTCTATGCCTCTGGCCTCTGCCCCAGGACTGTCCGGCCTCCCAAATGGAACCTAGGGGCTGATTATCATAAAACACCATCTCACAAGCTCTAGATGTAGAGCTGTTCACATTATCACTTGCATTCAGCCTTAAGGCACTGTTTCTCTAGCTTCGAGCCAAGAAAGAAGAGAGTTGGGGCTCCTCCCTTTAATTCTTGTCACAATGGAGACTGGGTAGGCCTGGATGATACCGGGGCCCAGAAGCCAAAACATGAGAAACTGGGCTGTGTGCTCACGCTGCCAAATTCACAGGCAGCCCCCGAACCTTAAGACAGTCTTTTAAGTGATGACGTGTTACCTTTAAATGCCTTGTACTTTCCAGATCAGGCCTCTCTCCTAAACTAGAACCTGTCTCCTACCCTGAAACTCTCTTCAGGGGCACGATTCCTGAGTTGTATCCTTAATATCTTGCCTTTGATCCTTACATTTCACATTGGCATTTTTTATACCATTTGCCTGTTTTGCTTTGTATCTTTTTTTTTTTAACATCTTTATTGGAGTATAATTGCTTTACAATGGTGTGTTAGTTTCTGCTTTATAATAAAGTGAATCAGTTATACATATACATGTTCCCATATCTCTTCCCTCTTGCGTCTCCCTCCCTCGCTTTGTATCTTCTTAAGTGCCACTCAGTTCCTTACTAGAACCTACAAATGTCCCAGAGGCCTTCACTCAACTTCTAGCCTGCTCTCTTATCCTTCCTTGGGGTGGGGTGAGGCTTCATCCCTTAACATGGTTTCAACATCCTTCTGTGTATAGATATTTCTCAGATCATCTATTTCCTGCTATTTCCCCCTCTGTCATTAAAGTTCATTATTTCTGCCTACTGTGCACTATCAATCACTTGACATCATCTTGACATCCCTGTTTTAATCAAAGAATTACCCAGGTCTAGGCTCTACAGTGTCTCTAAGTCATTGGTGGTGGGTAATGTTTCAAGTTATGTGACTGTGGCCATGAGTCTGACTTCGGTTGTTTTGTTGGCATCGCTGTGCCAACTCTCACTAGGTCTGGTTGTTTTTGACTCCTGTCTGTGGTCTTAGACTCTAATTGGTACCCAGCATCTTGGCAAACTCCTCAAAGCTAGAGTAGCTTCCATCCTGAGATCTCTCCCTTTCTTCTCGTCCTTATTCATACGAGTATCAGTTTTTTTAAATTTGGTTTGGGACCTTCCAGAAGTAGCCTTGTCACTGCTAGTGTAGCTAGACAAGGTAAAGTTACTGTCACCTGCTTCCTACTTTAGGGCCTTTTCACATGTAACACATGTTGCTTTGTTAGAAGTCAACTGGCATCTGGAACTACCATCGAATTCAGCTCCACAAAGGTTAACAGCTCATTCCGTTTGAGAGCATTTGGTACCTGCTGTCCCCCTGTGATAAGGAAGGACCTGCCAAGCCTGAGAATCTCCCTACCTCACCATCTACCCCACTGGGACCCCACCTTTCAGAATCCGTAGCAGTGAGGCTCTAGCTACAAAGAAGAGACCAAGAGAGCTGCCCCACAGAGTATAACCATATGCCCTTAGGGATTGTTGAGCCAGCTTACGGTCTACAGTGGGTATCTGCTATCCGGGTAAACAACATGTTTATTAAGGTCTCTGGTTTTCCAGGCAGTACTTTACAGGCACTGGGATGTACAGTATTAGAAAAGACAAGGTCCCTACCCTCAAGAGACTCAAGTTCCAATTAGAATATTAGCTAACATTTATTGAGCACTTACCATGTGCCAGGCAGTATTAAGTACTTTACATGTACTAATATTTAGTTAAGGAGACAGAAACCATAAAAAATTACTAGCCAAGTGAACAAAGGACAATGAAAGAGAAGAATTAATCCTACTGTTAATGGTCAGTGAGGATTCATAGAGGTGACATTTGAGATCGGACATATAAGATGTCCAAAGTTTCACTAGAAGAGGAAACAGACTTTGCAGAGGAACCACATAGCTAGTAGCCCTAGAGGCTATAGCAGAGGGTGTGAAGGATCAAGTCAGCATCCTACTAAGGATGTGTAGACTGGACCCACAGTGGGCGGGGCTCTGAATGCCACGTTAAAAAGTTTAGACTTTATCCTTTAAAAGACCTTCAGTATCTCTCCCTTGCCTGAGCCAAAATGACTTGATCAGGTCTGTATTTTAGAAGAATAATTTCTGGCATCTGTGTGAAGGATGGATTGTAAAAGGGAAGAGACTCAAGCTGGGGAGGCCAGTGGGGAATTTTTTTCAAAAGCCTGGATGAGAGATAAAGACCTGTATCTGGATGCTGGCAATGGCAAGGGTGAATAAAGGAGGAATTCCAGTGAAGGCAGAGGGAGAATTGTCCAGATTTGGGTTAAACACAAATCTAAATGTGAGGGAGGAGTCGAAAGAGGAAACAAGGTTTCTAGCAGATTTTTCACCAAGATAGGGAGAACAAAAGGAAGGAGGGGAGAAAATGAGTTTTGTTTGGGTCATGAGAGACTGCCAGGTAGGAACGATCAGTAGACAATCAGAACTGCAGTTCAGGAAAAAAAGGGCAAGAGGGAGACTTGGGAGTTTTGAGTACATAGAGCAGGAGAGAACCAAGGCTAAAATGGTGGGGGACACTGACATTTAGGGGCAGGACAAGTAGTTGAAAAGGGGCGGTTAGGGGGGAAGAGGAGAACCTAGGAAAGCCAAGCTCAATAACTTCTTTGCCAGAAGAATGAACTGGTGGGTGAGTAGGCTGGTTAGCTCCAGAGAGGTGAAGTAGGATGAGGGCTGGATGAAAACTGGAGAGCTGGAATAAATTATTAGTTCTTTCTACCCATCTTAGACTTACTTCAGAAGAGGGATGCTGGTGTGATGACAAGCTTGAAAACAGGCATCTGCTGACAAGGGAAGGCCAATGGGGCAGGGGAGTGACAATGCCTCACTTATTTGCCCTTTTATCTGCTTGTGTCCCTTCCACTCAGAGCCCCGAAGCCAGGACAGGAGACGGCGGCAGCAGCCACTGACCCATCACCCTACTTCAAGCAGCCCGGCCCCGTCCCCAACTCCTGTTAGTTCTAACACAGCCTCTTTACACATGGGCTCCTGCCTACTGCCCAACTCACTCGGCATATCAGGTCTGTACCCACCGCCCCTGAAATCTGGGTTGGCCAACCTCCTTCCTTCCCTACCTCCCAGGGCATAGGCCAGACTCCTGACTAGGCTTGAAGAAATCCCTCCAGCTCTGCTGCCATGTGACCTGGACCTCATTCCTGACTTGATGTAATACAGGCCACTCCAGACCAGGGGCACCAGTTATCCTCCTGGATTATCCTAAATCCCTAACATCAATGCCCTTGTACAGGAGGCTGGAGTTTAGTGAACATCTTTGTGTAATAAAATAAGTTACCACTTATTGAGCGTTTACTATGTGGCAGGCACTGCTCTAAGCACATTATCTCATTTAATCCTTATTTTTACAGTTGAGGAACCTGAGGACTTTTCCTACCTGCTATTTATTCAAGCTCCCTGACTCCAGGAGCTGGGCAACTTAGACAAAACTGAAGAATGAAAAAAGCATAGGCCTTTCACCTGTCACCACCGCAAATGTTGTGTGACCATATCATCCACAAAGAGCCTAGACCGTCTGCTCTCCTTTTAAGTTATAGACCCAGCCGTGTAAAGCACTGGATGGGGATGATTTCTAAAACTTCAGCCTAACATCTCCTACCTCCCTCAGAGCCCACTACTCCCAACCTGTTAACTCTCTTCGACGGGTAGCCCTGAATCCACCAGTCTTGGGTACTGATGACTTGATCCTTAAATGCTCACACATATGACTGGGATAACTCTGAGGTCTATAAATTCATAGTAGTTCAGTTGAGTGGGTTCTGATTCAAGCTCAAGTTACTGTTCTACCCCTCGGACCAGACTAGAGCGTGACGTGCTTCTGAACCAGCGGCGATTTTGCCAGGCAGCGGACATTTTTCTGGAGATGTTTGGTTGTTACAGTGGGGAGGAGGCAGGGGAAGAAATGGCATCTGCTGAGCAGAGGCCAGAGATGTTGCTAAACATCCTGAAATACACAAGGCAGCCGCCCACAACAAAGAATTATCCAGCCCAAAATGTCAATATTGCCAATACTGAGAAACTCTGATCTAAAGGAAGTTACCTCTTCTCCGTGGCCCCATCCTGATATCAGTTTCTTTTGTTCCCTAGGGAGTAGCTGCTCATTCCTACCCTCAGGGGACAAACCAGAGGCTGTCATGGTGATTGGGAAAGGCCTGCTAGGGGCTGGACCTCGGATCCCCTGTATCAGGACCCGACTACAGGTAACGTTTTTGGGTCTTCCCCAGTCCCCAGCATAGCGACTCTTGCAGAGCCCAGCAAGGCGCTGTTCACCTGGGTAGTGGGAGGGAAAATGCCCAGCACTGCTTTACACCCTCTCCCCACAACCACAGCAGAGAGCTGCTCTGATGCCTGAGTGCCTGTCTGTCCGGTGCTGCACCCCCGTCCCCTTCAGCCAGGTCTCTTGCTTGCTTCCAATCCCAGTATCCCTGCCAGACATACCCTAACCTCAGCCTGCTAGCTTTGGCTTTGCCTGCCCCTGCCTTAGCTTCTCCTCTCTTTCTGCCCAGACCTGCCCGAGGAGAGTTCCCGCCAGGAGGGGTCCCGGATTCCCCAGGTAACACATCTGGTTGCTGCTCCTAGGAACAGCTGTGCCACCAACTCCGATTCACTCCAGATCCCCATGCTAGGTTGACTGAAGTTAGGTGTAGGCAGAAGCTGACTGAACAGGTGAAGCTTAAGCTGCTCTGGCAGGGGCTGAGGCAATGAAGGCTCTGAGGCAGACCCACTAATCCTCCAACATCTTTCCACACCGTGCTTCTCTACTCAGCCAGATCTTGACCGTGGTATAGCCATGAAGGTTAAATGCTGGACCCTTCTGACTCCCCTAGTTAAGCTTGGAATGTATAGTCATAGACTGAACCCAAGAGTTTTCTAGCTATTATCCTGCCCTACCTTCTCAGCTAGGAACAGTGCCCAGGAACTCAAGGTCCCAGTACCCGTGTTGACACCCATACTACACTCATACGTGTGGATACTAGAAGGAAACCTAGAAGCAAAAAGTTCATGGAAGAATCCAGCCTCATAGCCTACCCCCTGTCCACACAGGCTAGGCCCAGGTTGGGCCGGGGCTCACCGCCGACTCGCAGAGGGATGAGAGGCTCTTCGGGCCCCACGTCCCCTACCCCCCGGAGCAGGGAGAGCAGTGAGCCAGAGCCGGGACCCTGCTCCATACCACGGTGAGCACCAGGGTGCAACGCTTCACCCCACCTCTCACTTCTATCCCCTTATTCCCATTTCTGCCATTCAAGATCATTTTCTTCCTTCCCTTCTCCCTTTGACCCCCGAAAGACTAAATGTACCTTCATTAAGAACCTAGTCCCTGACTTTTTTCCCCATCATGCTGTCCGTCTTCACTCCAACAGACAAGAGAACAACTTCTAGTTAGGCCTAAGGAGCAGGCTGGTCAGACCATTCCTGTCAGACCACTGTGCAGTGCTCAACCTGCCTATCCTCACCCACCTTGCCTCTCTCACCTCCCAGCCCCTGGCTGAAAGACCAGAAGAAGGGTGGAGTTTTCACAACCCTGACTCCTCTCTCTTCTCTGTTGCAGGCTGCCTCAGGCTGGGCCCCCACGGCCCTGCTCTGCCCCTGCCGTTTCTCCTATTTCCCGTAGTCTGTCTGACTCCCAGTCCCGGATTTGTTACAGTGGGGGGCCCTTGGGCCAAACTGAGGTTTGTTTTGTCCCTAAATCTCCTCCACTCACTGTTTCTCCTCGGGTCTGAGGCCTTGACCTTCACGCCCAGCACATGACCCGGAGATGGGGAACACAGTGAGAAATGTGCTAGTCCCCTTTCTCAGCTCCTGATTCCATGTGACAATTATAACTCCTTGGAACGCCAGCCACACTGTTCTGAGACACAGCAGAGCATCACCTTGAGACAGGACAAAGCAGGGACCTGCCACCCCTTCCCTCCCTCCACAGCACACGATTTTGGGACCACAAAAAAAATCTATATTTTTATACTGGGGGGAGGGAGTAGAAAATAAAGTAGCCCTATGCTGGGCCCTATTCAGTGGCAGCTTCTTGTTCCATAAGGTTAAGGAAGACTTTGAGGAAATTAAAGTTGTTTGGAAAAATCCAGGTGTAGTTGCTTTGTATGTTGTGATGGGTAGAAGGGATGAAGTGAAGTGTGAAGGCCCCTCACACCCTCCATCTTGCCTCAGACTATGTCCTGGAACCCTAGAAAAGAGGGGAAAGACCTGAGGTAAGGAAAATGCTGCAGCTTTCCTCTGGGGCAATCCTTCAGGAATCAACTCCCATCCAGCCTGTCCCCCCTTACAATTCTCGCCCACACTTATGGGTTGGTTTACCAGACGTTCACACAGCACCTCCCCCCATCCCATTCTTCTCTATGGCTTGGGTCTACACTAGCCAACCCCTAAATCAGTGCCCTGTGCCCCTGAAATAGAATTCTCTGTCTTTCCAACCCCTCACAAAAAAAATTATGCCTAAATAAAACCCTAAACAACCTTGGAAAAGTGAGTACTATTTAAGTGAAGAGCCTAAATCCTCTTACTTGGACGGCATCCTCAGTACCTTTATTCCTTCGGGTGTCAGTACTTTCTTGTACCCGTACTATCAACTTGGGCATCTGGGGACCACAGGAAGATGGGGACTGAGGGGGTTTAGGGAACCCACCCCGTTCTAGCAGGGAGCAGTTTAAGGGGGAAGGGGGCAGGGCACTCGCTGCTCTGTGCGGATAAAGGGGCCGAGTATCATGCTTGGCCCAACACTTTCTGATTTGAAGTTTCGAACCCTTCACGCCCTGGCGCGGCCCCGCCACTCACTCTCTGGGGCTGGGCGCTACAGCCCCGTACCGTTACCTGGGGCGGAGAAAGCGCCACTTTCATTCCTGCTTCTTGGGATTGTTGACGGCCACGTAGTGATAGAGAACGACAAGCAGGAAGAGCGACACGCCCAGCATGTTGGCAAAGATGGCGAGCTGCACGTCCGTGATCATGCTGCGGAGAAGAGGGGGGACTGAGCCTCGGACCGGCGCACTCCTCACCCAGACCAGGACCCTTCCTCGCCGCACTGGCCCAGCCACCGCCGATGGGCCGTGGACCGCGCCTGCGTGCCTCTCACCTGATCAGCAGGGCTCGGCTCCGACACGATCTGTGGACTAGCTCGAGGTAGGAGACCTGGACCGGAAGTTTGCTGCGCCAGCTCAGTCCCAAAACAGCCACTTCCGGCCGTCAGGCTCGGCCGGTAAGGGCTCCCTAGCCCCCGCGTCTCGCCTGCTCCCGCGGCGCACTCGCAAGGGGCGGGGTCTTGGGCGGGGCTGAGGAGGGGCCGGCCGCCGTAGGGGGCGGGCGGGCTGCAGACGCTCGCTTCGTACGCGGCACGGCGCAGCTGTGAGCTGTTGGCGTGGTCCGGGACAGGGTTAGGGGCGCTGGGGCCGCTTCCTTGGAGCCGAGGAGTGGACTAGAGCGAGGGTGTGGCGGCGGGACCGAGCGGGAGGCTCGGCCTGACCCTAGACTCCGGCCCCCCTCTCGGTCGCGGGCCCACATGCTGCTGCCCACCCTTCGCTTCCCGGCCCGGCCAGGTGCTTCCTTTGCGCCCTGCCCTCAGGGTCCCCACCCTGGTCCGGGCGGCCGGGAGAGGGGTAAGAGGCGGTGCAGAATGGGGACAGGGCTGGGACGGCCGGCTAACTCTCCTCGGCGCCAGCCTTTCTGCCCCACATCCGCCAAATAGAACGATCGTGCCTGTGATCTGACCAGTGCCTCCCTTCCGGACTCCCTCCCTCCATCCCACTCTCAGAGGTGGGCGTCGGAAATAGGGCGGACCCTCCCGGAATCAAAACCCAAACCGTGGGACTTAAGCCAAGTGGGAAATCACCCCCCACCCGGATGTGAGGGAGGGGGGAAAGGAGGAAAGGCTGGGACCAGCAAGAGGGGTCGTGTGGGTTATAAGCAGAGTGGGCCACCGAGGAGAAAAAAGGAAGATGACTGGGTAGATGTCCGAGGGTCTCTGGTGAGGGGAGAGGCAGCCTGGGGCTCTACAACCCTCTGCCCAGCCAAAACCTACTCCCCCCCACCTCCTTGCTTTCCCTCAGCTTCACCATAAAAGGGAACGGCACTGAGCCAGGCTGGGGCCAGGGGCTGGGCTGTTTCTCTGGAGCTGTCAGGGGTAATGGAAGCCAGTTGCTCTGCGGTAGAGGGGGGCCAGGGCTCAGGGGACGCCTCTGCTTCTCTGAGCCAAAGAAAACTACAGGAGCTGCTATGGGGCTGGAACAGCTGGGTAAGGGGACTGACTGGCAGGCTGTGTGCACGGTGAGCTAAGGGTGCACTAGCCCGGAGTGGGCTTCCCTGGCCTGGGACCATCAGCAGTTTGTCCTCCATGCACCAGCCCAGTGACTCCTAAGCTTGGTCTCGGCCTTTAGCAGTCTGTAGTTTCCCGGCCTCCCCTCTCATCACGCAGCCCCCACCATTTCCCAGAAGTTTTCTGTTTAGAATCCCAACCCCATGTTCCCTCCACATAACGGTGAAATCCCAGCCATGTACTCCCTCATGTGTCCCCTCAGTGAGCAGTCTGTTCCCAGCTCTGCTCTGGGAGAATGAGGGTCTAGGTCTTAAAGGATTACACACATTATGCTTTGCATCTCCTGGAAATTTGAAGCAGATCCAAGAGCAACCAAACTTTTAGATCTGTTGAAACACAACTAGATCCTGGAAAGTAGACTTTCTAGACTGCAAATGACATAAGGGAAGGCCTTGGAAGTGCTTCAGCTTTCCAAGGCTGTCCAGAAACCAGCTGACCCAGTTGCAAAGTAAACTAGACTCTCAGAGCTGAAGGGGGCCTTCAAGGTCATTTTCTGAAGAAGGAAACTGAGGCCCAGAAGGTAATTGATTTGACCAAGGTTCTACAAATGGTTAGAGACTGTCACCTGATCCTTCTTCCTCTGTTCCATACTCTGTTGTGTCAGACTGTGGACTCAATAAGTTGTCCTAGGGTCAGGGGAAAGCGGAAAAAGTTTTGTTTTAGAACCATCCAGAAATGTCCTTCACCTCCCAGAACTTCCTGTGCCTAGGTCAGCGAGTCTTTATCAGCCTTGAATGGGTCATTTGGCCTAGTGCCTGGAGGAACATTTTAACCAAGTTAAAAATGGTCTCCAGGACTAAACTGGACTCAGCTAAGAGCTAACAACTCCTGAAAAAAGCTTGGGTGGAAAAGTACGTGGGAAGTGAGACAAGTGAAGCCTTATCCTGGGGGAAATCGGGGGAGAGAGAGGGTTAGGGGGCACGTGGGGCAGGGGGGAATGTGTGGAGCTTAATCTCTGTGATTAGTGTGACAATTTAAAGCAGAAGACATAGTCAGGATTAGGCTCAGGAGTGAAAAGACAACAAGACCTGGAAAAGGGGCACTGGGCCCTGCATCCAGGGAGGTTAGCTCCTGAAGTATCGTACCTGTGGGAAGGGTTGGAAGGAAAAACAATGTGTGCATTTGTGCATAGTGGACTTTTGCTCAAGAGTCCCCACAAGCTGGAATTCCCATCTGGGTTGGCATGACCCAAGGCCCGGTTGTTATTATTCCCCCCTTTTTCCTCCCACTCTTCAGTCTTCTGACCGAGGGTGGTAGGCATAAAATGCTCCTTACTGCTGGGGCCCCTATCTCTCTGGCCCCAGGCACAGGAGTTCATTGCGCCATCAGTGATGGTTGACTGAATGAGTTAGCTGCCTGGTACAGCCAAGATTTCCCATTGGCACTAGACCCATGGAAATCTGTCTTGGAGAGGTTATAAAATAGATCTTGTCCTAGTGCCCGAGGGACTCTTAGCCTTTTTTGGTCTCAGGAATTCTCTTCCAGTCTCTTTGGCAATTTGTGGCTGCCTATCAATACCACCGCCACCACTGCATTCCCTCTAACCTTAGTCTCCACTGCAGCCTGCTTGCCCAACACCTCAGGCCGCCCCAGTGAACCCACTGATTTCTTTGATATCTCTGAACATTCATGTCAGGCTCTAGGTCTTGGCTCCTAATTACAGGACTAAATGAAATGCAACCTACCGCCATTATATTTCAAAGGCAACATTTTTGACTTGACACACTTAAAATACAACAGATTTTGTAACTTAAGGGGGCAGGCAAAGGAACGGGTGACAACTGAGTAGTCACAAGATGGCTGGGATGACTTTTTAAGTTGCCAGGAGCTCCTGAACGGAGAAGACCGGGAAGAGCAGAGAAAGCAAATGCACAGCAGCAGCCAGGGCCACCTGGAGGGGAAGTGAGTGAGCTTCCGGCCAGGGCCAGGGCCAGGGCCTAAGCAGCTGCCTTCCACTGACAGCGACTTTGAAATCAGGACCTTCTAGGACCAACTCCTTCAAGTCTCCCTAGGTGCCAATCCCCTCACCTCTAAGGAACAGGCACAGGTTTCCATTTCTGATGGTTCCAGAGTTTACTGTCACCATCCTGTCTTTTCGCCAACATTTCTTCCAGTCATCAGGATCATATTCTGGACGTCAGAGGTAGATCACTCAGATTCACATTGAAGATTTGGTGGCATCCATTCTTATAGTTTCCAACTATTGTCCTGCAAATGGTTCCCAGAATCAAGACCCACACTGCTAACCATCTCCTTTGGACGTTTATTTCCATTGAGATGTGTTATTCTCATCTTAAACTCAGGATGCCCAAACGAAGGTCATCTTTCTTTCCTTCAAACCTGCTCCTCTTCTCGATTTACTCACGCTGGCTCAAACCCTGGAAGCTTCTGTGGTGTCCCCCTTCATCTGGTCCCTCATTACCCATGCAGTCACCAAGCAGTCACAGCCTTCCCTTCCACGTCTGCGTCACTTTGCAGTGTAGAATTTGGAAGGGACCTGAGATGACAGAAAGATGGCAGACCCCCGGTGGAGTCAGGGGGTTTGCTCAAAGTGATAACACTATTTAGAGGAGGAGCTGGAACCAGCATCCTTGTGCCCTAACACCCTGCCCATTGCTCTTGCCAAGAATATCTTCTTTCTGCGTGTGTATCGACCCCCTACTCAAAAACTTGTAACCCAAGCTGTTAACCAGTCATCTGAACCTCTCCCTGATTTTTCCACAATCAACCTCTCCGACTTCCTGACACAAAGAAGAGCTAACATTTACCACGTGCCAGACACTATTCTAAATGCTTCACATGGATTAACTTAAGCCACATGAAACTAGGAAGGAGGGAACTATGATTATTCTCATGTTACAGATGAGGAAACTGAGACAGACCGCTTTCACCAACCTGAAATCTCTCCCCCTCCCCCCGTCCCTGTTTTTTACTTCCCCCCACTACCACATTTATCAGATTCTCTTTCTTCCAATAGCTCTTCTCTGACTCCCCACAGCAGCCAGCTATCTTTCCCCTCCTCTTACCCAGAGCACAGCATCCATCTGGCCTTCTGTCTGTCCTGCCCTGTGTTCGTTCTGTCGGGCGCTTGTGTCCTGTTCCCCAGCAGGACCAGCTACTCCTTACTGAGTCCTACACGTGCCTTTGCTACCCAGGCACCTCCGCAGCGCCCACACACCAGGCTCTCGCCTCCTTTCTGTCTAGTACTGCTGCCTGGCTCTCCCAAGCGGCCCACCACGCAGGGAGACCTGTACAGAACACAACGCTGGGGGCCAGATGGTGAGGGGGGCCGGCTGACAGATTCTGACAGAGTCTATGGGCAGGCTGGTGGTTGAGTCAACTTCCTTACTTGCCTCAGAGGCTACCAGACTTGGCTCCACTCTAGGGAGTGACTTCCTTCAGGCTAAATACATCGGGCCCAACTCACCTCCCTCCTTCCCTCCCCTCCCGCACTCATGGCTGACCTTCTCCAAGACAAGTCTGAGACCCATGTTCACCTGGCCTTTTGAGAATGAAAGCCTTTTTCCTCTTGCCCATGTCCTCTCCATGCTTGACAGAAGGCTACTCCCCACTTCCAGATTCTTCTGGCTTCTCTGAATTTCTTGCCTGCCTCAGTGAGTCCTTCTCCTTTTCCTCTCTGGCCCAGTAGCCCTCACTCCTCTCCTCCTTTTTCCTCGCAAGCCACTGACCTGGGTACCATTTATATTCTAATCTGAGCCCTGCTCTTGACTTGCTGTGTTACCTTGGACAAGTTACTTTCCCACTCTGGGCCTCAATGTTCACATCTATGAAAGGAGGCAGCTGGACTAGATGGTGAGTGGCTGTCCTGCTGAGCCCTGCGATTCTTTCTTCCTTTTACAGCTCTCCTCTCCACCTCTCGCCTGTGGGCTCCTCTCTC